CTGGAGGGTGGAGGAGGGACTCTCAGGGGCCTGGGGGCTCTGGAGGGAGGGTGCTCTGGAGGTCTGCAGCTCTGCTCTCCTCGGAGTTTTTCTAACAGAGGAAGGAAGGAGTAGCCCAGGCTGCCCCTTAGCAAGGTGGTCCTGTGTCCTGGTTTCCCAGGTATGGGCCTGCCTGGCTCAGGGACCAGGGGGCTCAGCCTGGGGTTAGGAGCTGAATGATTGGGGGAGTTCATGTACAGCTGACCCCTCCCCCTAGCTCAGGGAGCTTTCTTGGCTCCCTATCACGTCCAGGATTAAATATCAAATTCTTTATTCACAGCTTGGACCCCTCCCATCTCACCAATCTTCCTCCAACCTATTTTCCTCCCCAAGCTCTGTGGTCCAGCCTCTGTGCCTTTGCCCTGACTGTGCCCCATGTCTGGAATGCCCTCCCTCCTCACCCACTTCTAGAATCCCAGGATTCCTCCTTTCCTGCACCCCCACCCCCCGCCCCGGCTGCTTGGGCCAACGCCTCTGCGGGAGCCTTCCTCTCCTCCGCATCCGTCTTGTGTGTTCTGATGTCCACGTCCTGTCTCCTCCATCCTCCTGGAGGGTAAGCTCCTTGAGGGCAGGGCTCAGGCTTGGCTCTTCGTAAGTGCTTGTTGGTTGTGGCTTTTTGAGGGCCACCGAGGGGAGGAGGGTAATAGACGTTCTCACTGGGGGAACGTCAGAGGGCCGCCCTTTGGGAAGAATGCCTTGGTTGGCGGTGGGAACCGGTCCGTCCCGACGTCGCCCCCTCCACAGGCTCCCTTCTGGGCCTCAAAAGCCGAGAAACGGGAACGCTTGTGTGCCCCTCCCCCCAGACCCCGCGCAGCGGCTCTCCCTCCACAAGATGCGCGTCATTCAGTGACATCGACTAGGGCCATCTCTGTTGGGGACGTGCGCGCGCCAAGGACAGGGACCCAGTGTCACGCGACCTGAACTCAGATCCTGGAGCTGTCACTCACAGCTGAGACTAAATCATCTGCCAATGGATAGGCACGTACTGAGCACCGGCTGTGTTCCGGGTCCTATGCCAGGCATTGCAGATGCAAAGACAAGAAACTTCCTGCCCTCAGGGAGCTTACACTCTATTGGGGGAGACATAACATGAATATGTATGTGTGGAGGGAGGAAGGGTGGGAGAGACAGAGACAGAGGGAGAAAGAGCGGGGAAAAAACGGAGAGACGGAGAAAGAGAGAGATAAAAAAAGAGGAAGAGAGAAAGAGAGGGAGAGAGGAAGAGGGGGAGAGAGGAGACAAACAGGGAGAAAAAACAGAGAGGGAGACAGAGAGAAAAAAAGAGAGAAAAAGAGGGAGAGAGGAAGAGAGAGAGGAAGAGGGGGAGAGAGGAGATAGAGAAAGACAAAACAGAGAAAGAGATAAAAAAGAGAGAAAGGAAGAGAGAAATAGAAAGGGAGGGAGAGAGAAACAGAGAGGGAGAGAGAGGAAGAGAGAGAAGAAAAGAGAGGAAGAGAGAAAGAGGGAGAGAGAGGAAGAGGGGGAGAGAGGAGACAGAAACAGAAAGGGAGAAAAAACGGAGAGGGAGAGATAAAAAAGAGAAAGGAAGAGAGAAATAGAGAGGGAGGGAGAGAGAAACAGAGAGGGAGAAAGAGAGGAAGAGAGAGGGAGGAAGAGAGAGAAAAAAGAGAGAGGAAGAAAGAGAGAGAAGAAAGAGGAAGAGAGGGAGGGAGAAGAGCGAGAGGAAGAGGGGGAGAGAAGAGACAGAAAGAGAGAGAGAAAAAAACAGAGAGTGAGAAAGAGAGATGAAAAAGAGAGAGAAAGAAAGAGAAGGAAGATAAGACAGGAAGAGAGGAGAGAAGACAGAGAGAAAGAGAGAGAGGGGAGAAAAAGTAGGGGAGAGCAGCTAGGTGGGCCAACAGAGAGCTGGACCTGAGTCAGGAAGACCTGAGTTCAAGTGTGGCCTCGGACACTTCCTAACTGTGTGGCCCTGGGCAAGTCACTTAACCCTGTTTGACTTCGTTTCCTCATCTGTAAAATGGGGGCTTGAACTAGAGGACCTTGAAGGTTGCTCCCAGCTATGGAAATTCAATCTCCCAGTAAGCATTTGCTGAGTCTGCTGTGTACCAGACACAGTGCTATCTAAGCCCTGGGGACCCAAAGAAAGGTGGAATATTGGGTCCTTGCCTTTAAAACTCTGCCAGTCTTTGGGGGGAGACGTGTGTACACGTACCAGCTCGACAGGGAGGCTCTAGCACCTGCAGTGGGAGGAGAACTGGAGAGAGAGGGGGCCAGGTGAGGTCGCCTACGGGAGCCTCTTGCTAAGAAGCAAGTCAGGGATCCTCAGAGTCATGGATGAAAGAGCAACGTTCCAGGAAGGGGAGAAACAGCCAGTACAAAGGCATGGAGGTGGGAGATGGTGGTTTGAATCCCGGCTCTGTCTCTTACTCCCTCTGCCTCAGTTTCCTCATCTGCCAAGAGGGGTCGGGCCAGATGACGGGCAAAGCTGCTTCTAGGGCTAAATCGATGGGTGAAAATCATCTCCTCTAGGCTTCGCGTCTCCCTCTAGATCAGACCAGGTTTTACTCCTGGTTTGTTTACTCCTGGTTGTGGTCTCCCCCTCTCTTCCCTCCCAGTGCCTCAGTTTTTGAGTCTGTAGCATGGGTCAGGCATCAGTAGCTTTGCTCTCATTTCCTACCAGAGTCTCCTGCTAAAGGAGACAAGCGGGGCCCAGTGGTTTGGTACTGAGCTGTTTTGGGAGCTGGACGGGAAAGGTCAGGTGCTGAGGGGCTTACACCCAGGAGCTGGGATCCTCCCCCTCCCTCACACCACTAGCTCGGCCTTCCTTGTCCCTTCACCATGCTCCAGGGAATGGCTCTTGTTGTCTGGGCCAGGCTTCCTCCGTGGATGGGGAGAGATCTCGGGCTTGGGGGGGTGGTGCCCCTAGGATTATAGGCACTCAGCCTGGGCCAACAGTGTGTGTGAGAGCCTTGGGGGCAGAGGTCCCATGCACCTCACCTAAAGTCACACACAGGTAACAGGGTGAGGCCTCCTCCTTCCCGGCAGGACCCTGCCCTTGACCTTTGGGAAATGCCGATGAGGACCCCTCAGCCACCTCCCACCTGGCTTGTCCGCTGCCCTCCTTAAAGAGGGAGGGGGACACCTCCTTCACCAGCCTCACGGGTCTCTCCTTTCCCTCCTCCCCAGGCTGCGGGAACATCACCGGGCCACCATTAAGGTTCTCCGTCGCATGCAGTATTTTGTGGCCAAGAAGAAATTCCAGGTGAGTGAGACCTGTGAGGATGGGATAGGTGGGGCCCCTCCCCTCCCTCTCTGCCCCTCCCCTGCAGCTTGCTCTGGGCGCCCGAGGATTCCCCCCGCCTCTGCAAAGGGAGTCCCTGGGTTCACTCCTTGGGCCACTAGGGACCCTCCTTCTGTGGTGGGGAGGGAGCCGCACTCAGTCGGCAGGCAGCACTCCTTCCCCCCACCCCCACCCCCACCGTCCACGGCCAGCTGGCCTCAGTTACAATGTTATTTTCTGCTAATGGACTTGACCCTTGGCCCCTGCTATCTGCGCAGGCTACCCGCGAGGCCAACCTTTCCATGTGGCTTCATTAATTCCGGGCTATGGGGCTCTGCCTGTCTGCCAGAGGGTGGGCTGCAGCAAGCTGCAATCCACCAGGCCTGGTAATACAGCGAGGGTCGCCCCCTCCAGCCTCATGTACATCAGGAGGGAAGCAAGGACTTTTCCCACAAGGACCTGGCCCCGACAAGGCCTGGCATCCCCATTTTACAGATAAGGAAACTGAGGCTCCAGAGGAGAAGTGACTTATTTATGCCTACACAGCTAGCGGGTGACTCCAGCCTGGGGCACTGCCCGGTGGCAGAAACAGCACCTCAGGACTCGTTTGGTGGAGTGGACGCCTTCCTGTCTTCTTACTTCTCTTCGGAGGATGAGAAGGCATCCTGTGATGGAGAGAGCAGGAGATTTGGGGGCAGTGGCTCTGGGTTCCAATTTTCCCTGTGTGACTTTGGACACATGCCTCGCTATCTTCAGGCTTCCTGTTTTCTTTTCTGTACAAAGTGAGCCTCTACTGATGGTAGGGAAGCTGTCAGTCGCTGACCTCCAACCTTCCTGCCCTGACCACTTTCTGGACTTTCTCAGGAACATGCAGGAATGTCTCCTGGCAGGGAGGAAGCCACAGAGGGCTTTGATGGCCAGTCACCAAATGAAGGTCAGCCCCACCCTGTGAGAATGCAGGTGCTCCTTCCCGGTCCACCCGCATCCAGTCCGGGGCCTCTCCGAAGAGCACGCATCTCCTCTTGGGGCATTCAGAGCCCAAGAGGGCTTTGGAGCTGGAGGCATGGCCAGCCGCAGGGACCACCGAATGCAGGCCCCTCTCTGGACAGATGAGAAGACGAGGAGGCTGAGTGACTTGTCAAGGGCCCACCATGGCCAACATGCAAGGCCTTGCCCAAATGTTAGGGAGGAGGCCAGTGGGAGTCCAGAATTAGGCTGGCTCCTACCTCCTTATTCCCCAGTCTGACCCACATGGAACAAGTCCCCACATTTCCCAGGGGAGGGGGCTGGTCCACAGATATTTCCTTTCACTGGAAGGAAGCCCCCCATTTTCCAATTTTAAAGTCCTGCCTTGGGACATTGAGAGTCTGAAGGGTTGCATAGCTTAGAGACCAAAGGAGGAGACTGACTGGGGCCCAGGGAAGGGAGGAACCGGCCTGAGGTCCTACGGGTCCTTGGACTCCTCCCTTAGTGCTGTCTGCCACTGACATCTCACTGTGATTAGGAAAGGACCAGGGGACATGGGCAGGGCGAGGGGGCACTGAGGAGTCAGGCAGCAAGGTGGACGTGGACTGGCTCTGGCTGGGAATCTGGAGGCCTGGGTTGCCCTCCTGCCTCCACTTGTCAGCAAAGTTCTGACTTCCTGCCCTCGAAGGTATCCCCAAAACTGCTTTGGTGGTAGTCATTCTAGGCCCCATTTTACAGATGAGGAAACTGAGACTCCAAAGGGTGGGCATCATGTCTTTGCCTAAGGATCCAGGGATAAGAAGTCAAGACTCCATGCCAGGCCTTCTGTTCCTAGGGCACCTGTGATTTTAAGCAAGCCTCATCCCTTTTCTGAGACTCAGTTTCTCCTGTGTAGAAGGAGGGATGGGTCTGATTACTTCTAAGGGCTCTTCCCAGGCCTCTGACAAAGGAATCAGAGAGCAAGATCGTCATTCGCCCTGCCCAGACTTACTTAAAGACAACCTTGGATCAGTCCCTTCCTTTTGCTTGACTCAGTTTCCCTCTTTGTCCAATGAAGAAGGCCAGCCAACTGACCTTAAGGCCTTTTCTGCCACTTCCTTCCTTTGTGGATGATGCCCACCCTGGAAGACCAGAGAAACTCTGATGAGGGGGAAGGGTTGTGGCCTTGAACTTCGCTTGTGCTTTGGTGTCTGCTGGAGGGGATGTCCTTATCTGAGGAAGCATCTGATGAGGCCTGGGAGGAAACAGAGACCCCCGCCTGCCTGCCTGCCATGGCGCCTCTGCAGCAAAAGCACCCCCCTCCCAAACCTGGGGCAGGCTGAGCAAGCTTGCAGGGCCTCTGATGGGGGAGCTGCCAGGCTGCCTGGGGCTGTCTGCAGGGGCCCGTGTTCCTCTGCCTTCTTTGACTGGCATCAACTCCCCCCAGATTTCCTGGAATGCCCTGTGGATGCTCCATCTCGGCTCTCTGTCTCTGTCTCTCTGTCTCTCTGTCTCTCTGTCTCTCTGTCTCTCTGTGTGTATCCCTCGGCTAGATGTCTGCCATCTTTATCTCCCACCTCATAGTGGTCATCAGGCAGAAACCCACGGCTGCTCCGGGCTGTTCAGCTTGGCATCCTAGCTGTGGGAACCTCAGCAAGTCGCTTCCTGCTGGGTGCCTCAGTTTTCCCATCTATAAAAGGGGGATGACGTCCCTTGCCTTGCACTGCCTGCCCCAGAAGGCTGACAAGCCTCTGAGCCTTTCCCATGGGTGAGGGGTATTTTAAAAGGCACCAGACTAAGGCCAGTTGCAATGCTTCTGGAAAGGGCCTCAGGGTTTTCGTGGCTATGGCCCAGGGGGGCCCCCTTGTGCTGCAGGATGTGGCCAGCCTGAGTCCCGCCCAGGCCCTGTGCTGGGAACTTAGGCCATTCAGACAGCAAGGCTCCAGCCTGCACAGAGCCCACCAGGAGGGAGGAAGAGACATTGGACATAAAAACCAGAGAGGGCTCTGGGCCCAGCCGGTGACAGCCTGTGCCCATCTGTGTCTGGGGCGTTCTGCACATCTCACTGGAGTCTCAGGGCATCCCTGGAGCAATTCTGAAGCAAGGAAAGGGAAGTGACTAGCCCAAGGTCACATGGTTAGAAAGGGCTGAGGTGGGATCTGAACCCAGGATCTCCTGGCTGCTCATGCAGAACCCCAGCCTCTGGGGCTGCTCTGGTCAGGGGTGCAGGAAGGGAAGGCTTCCCAGGAAAGGAGGGGCTCTGCCCAAGTCCGGCCTTGGCAAGGTCAGCAAGCATGTGGCTTCTGTCCCTGGGCAGGAGCCCCCCAGCTGAGCAGAGTTCCATCGGCTCCAGTGATGGCCCAGAGAGGTCAGATGGGCCAATGACCGAATGCCTCTGAAGACCTTTGAAATTCCCAGGGAGAGGAGGCTGTGCAAACCAGCCACAGTAACCCCAGGACCCACTGGGCACCTTCCCGAGTTCACCTCACTCTAAGGCCAGGACAGCTTCAGGGGAGAGAACTGAGGGCTGGAAAATGGAATGTCATCTAGGTCTGCAACTCCCAGCCTGGCTCCCTGCAGTGATGAGCCCCTTGACGGCATGAGCTTCCCCCTCCCCTGGCCTGAGGGCAGCATCTCAGAGAAGTCTTGACCCTGAGAGCAAGCTGAGAAGGGCATCGGGGGCTTGGGAGGGAGGAATGGGGGGTGGGGGTGGCTGCAGGGGCAGAGCTGTGTGGCCCCCCTCCCTCATCACGCAGACCTTCGTCGTGTGGACTCCAAGCAAAGCCCTCCCTTTCCTGGCCCCCACCCCCATCTGAGCCCAGACCGTACCAAGTGTCTTCTGACTTGTGTAGAATCCTCTAGAACAGGAATAGAATCAAGAGAAGGGAAGTTCCAGGCATAGAACCCCAGGGTCCCCAGGATGGAAGAGATCTCAAAGACGTCCCAGACAAGCCATCCCAGCATCCCCAGCCCCCTCCCCTCAAATCTCCAGAGAGGGACACAGGGTCTCAGGTGAGAGCTCCAGGGGCCAGCTCCCTCAGTTGCAGAGGGGGAAACTGAGGCTCAGAGAAGCTCTGATCCACCCCGAGTCACTCAGGCAGGATTTGAATTCAGGTCTTCCTGGCTTCAAGTCAGTCTCTCCACTCCCCTCCAACCAAGGCTCCCCTTGGTTATGGCTCAAACTGAATCCTGCAGTAAAGTAAGTAAGCGTAAGGGTCCCGCCCGGACTAGCTAGAGACAGAAAGCTTTGGCCTAAATGGGCCCATGGGGACAGCTTCGAGGAGTGGAACCACAGGACGAGGAGTAGGAAGGCCTGGATCCTGGCCACGCAGCCCTCTCAGGGACTCAGTTTCCCTAGCTCTAAAATGGGGTGGTCCCTGGCCTGCCTACTTCCCAAGGTAGTAGGATTGGGATGCTTTGGGATGCTCTTGAAGCTCCATAGAAATGGACAACAATACTGAGAAGCAGGGGGTGGAGGCCAAAACCTTTAGGAAGAAAAGTCCAGCCCCTTCACAAGCCCCAGGGCAAGAACACAGGCCACCCGGCTCCAGGGAGTCAGAGGAGCTGGCGTTTCTCCACAATTTCAGACTTACCTAACGTGACCCTGTGAGTTTATTGGACCCTCACAATGATCCTCCGAGGCAGGGGACACAGAGATTATACCCATTCTACTGATGAGAAAAAGGCTTGGAAGTTGAGGCCTCTTCTCACATCGCCCTGCATCTACTCCTCCCATGACCTTGGACAAGTCCCTGCCCCTCTGGGCTCCTCCCTTGTGCCATGAGGGGCCCTGGGCACAATGGGCCCAAAGGTCCCTCCAACGAGATAGTGAGCAGCCTGCGAATCCAATGGGTACAAGATAGAATCTCTGGATAGGAGAATGCTGGTGACCGGGCCAGGACTAATGGAAATGCACTGGTCAGTAGCCCTGGGCTCCAGACCGGCTCATCACTCACAAGCTGTGTGACCTTAGCCAGGTTCCTTCGCTTCTCTGGGGTTCAGTTCCCTCCACCATAAAAGGAGAAGGTGGGATTTACTGGATCCCAAAGTCCCTTCCCGGGCTGAGATTCCATAGGATGTGCCCTGTGCGATCAGCTGCACACCCAGCCGTGCACACTCACAGATGTGTGTGCATACCCAGCCATATACAGTCACACAGGTGGATGCATACACACATAGCCACACACCTGCACAGGTCCACGCAAACAAACACAAATATATATATTCACACACCTATTGGGCTGACTTGTTACAAAGATAATGGAGGCGGGGCAGCTAGGTGGTGCTGTGGATAGAGCGCCAGCCTTGGAGTCAGGAGGACCTGAGTTCAAATCCAGCCTCATATACTTGACACTTACTAGCTGTGTGACCCTGGGCAAGTCACTTAACCCTGATTGCCTCACCAAAAAACAAACAAACAAAAAAGATAATGGGGGACGCGGCTCAGTGATCTCATACATTTTTCCTTCCTGTTGTCCTACAGCAAGCAAGGAAGCCTTATGATGTCCGCGATGTCATTGAGCAGTACTCTCAGGGTCATCTCAACCTGATGGTGCGCATCAAGGAACTCCAGAGAAGGTACCCAGCCAAGTGGGCACCTTGGGCTGGGCCTGGTCACTCCCGGGGGGCAGCAGGAGCCTAGGAAGACAGCCCCCTTGCCCAGTCACCTGCAGGGGCCCAGGATGGGGTAGCCAGGCTGTGCAAAGGGACTGAGGGCTGAGCACCTTCTTCAGGATGGATTACAGACCCTCGACTGGGGGTCCCTACGTGGCCAGGATCCAGAAACCTGCCTTGGAGCCAAGCTCAAGGTGCTGCGTATTCCACAGCAAGCTCTTCTCCACCTGTGCCATCACTGTGGGCTGCTAGTCAAAGGGGTCTGAGGCAATGGCCCCCTGGCCCTGACTTCCCTCTAAGAGGTTAACCTCATCTTCTCATTACAGACATCAAGGTCTCTGGCTCAGGCTGCCCCTTCTCCTGCTCCCCAGTAATCCCACCCACAATCCACACAGGGTCTGCTGCCCAGCTAAACTTCTCCTTCTACCCACACCTGGTGTCATTTAACCCAGTGAGGTCTCCCTGCCCAGCCTCTCCTCACCCACGAGAGTTCTGAGGCAGTTAGGGCTGGTCCAGCCATCCCCTCCATCCATCCATCCATCCATCCATCCATCCATCCATCCATCCATCCATC